AATAAATGACAAAGGTTTAGATATTGAATTGTGATGCAAGATTTCTGCAACATGAAGATCACATCTGAGATCATCGAGCTTGTCGTGTAAGGCAGCCAGAGTAGAATTCTGCAAACTGAAGGAAATAAATGTTGAAAACACAGTGAATACTTTCAATGATAAACATAAACTACAAGTATATCAAATCTAAAACTTCTTGACGATGGTGAAGAGTCAATTGAATAAAAATTTTCTTGGATGTTATCCATCGTCTAGTAAATATAAAACGTAAAACGACGTTTCGGAGATGGGACTCTATCTCCGTCTTCAGGTTCCTACACAGTTGGGCCCACAAGATAGAGCTAATCCCTATCTCCGGACAAAGTAAAAAAGTGAAAGTCCCGGGACGTTTTATATTTACTAGACGATGGATAACATCCAAGAAAATTTTTATTCAATAAACTACAAGTGTTTAATATCAGGAAAATATCTGAATATAAGAAGGATAAGGAAAGTGGGAAACAAAGGATATTGCACAGCATAAATTCTGTAATTTACAAGTTTGGACAATAATTAAATAACAAGACTGATGTTTTAGAGCAGCAACTGGGAACACTGGTCAGTTTGGATGTGTTAAAGCATTTGACTAAATGATTCATCACATTGTGTCAAACAGTCATTTACATCCAGTTTATTCTGTGATTGCATCAAGTGCTTTGTCAACACTGCATTTTACTGGTCTCTCAAAAACATGAGAGATAAACAGTTATAACAATTTATATTTAACAACAAATATTTTAAGGCAGTCCAATAAATGGACATGAGATTGGTGAAACATGCAGCACACATGAAGGATATGATAAATACATACCAAATTTTAGTATGAAAACTTTAAACAAAGAGATCACATAGGAAGTTAGACATAGATGGGAGTCTGTATTAAAACAGATATTAAAGAAATATGGTATAAGGCACAGCCTAAATTAAACTAATTCATATTTATGACTTGAAGCTTTCACAATGACTAAACTCAATAAAATCTTCTAGGGCAATCAACCGTGTCAGTTGACACAGCTGACCGCCCAAGATTTTATTTACGTGGAGAGACTGAGAGAAACTGTGAAAATCATCAGTCAGGACAGTGTGTGCCATGCTTCAGAATCGAACAGGGCACCTCCCAAATACACATCACAATATTTACCACTCAAGACAACTTGCTCATTCCCATATCATACAAGTTAAATATATGGATGAAGCTAAGATGGGGAAAACAACATGTTTATACTTAAAACACAATACACAGTAGGCAAAGAAATCAAAAAGCTCACCTAAATCCTCTCTCTGGTACGCATTCCAGAATGTGAAATGCTTTGCTAAGTTGATCAGCTTCAGGGTACGCATAGAGGCAGTGTAAAGCAAGTGATATTTTTTCTTCCATTGATGGCACCAATGAAAATGAATGCTCATTATGCAGGTGTTCAAACAGTTTATGGGGTAATGACAAGTCCTGGGAGCTAAGAAATATCAGGTAGTCAAGAAGTAACTGCCTTCTACTTCCTGCAGCTTCCTTCTCACAGCGCAGTAAAAATGGCAGTAACAAATGTTTTAGGTCATCAATGAATGTTGTTTCCACTGTCTGAAAATAAGAACAGATAACAATTAAAATCTCTAAGCAGACGTCACAGCAAGATTCTAAATTAATGAAACAGGCGATCAAAAGGGATGTGTGTAATTCTGGTGTTGCACGTCTGTGTTCCAATACAAACACTCACATTCGGTGTATCACGTAAGCTTCTCAAACTGTGACCACAGATTTGGTTTAAATAGAATACGCAACATAAACATGAATATCAATCACTCTGACGGACAGACGCAACAGCTCCTGTTGACAGACAAATAGAATATGCAACACGCAACATAAACATGAATATCTGACAGACAGACGCAACAGCTCCTGTTGACAGATGCAAAATATTCATACCAGGGGCACCTGGAAATATAAATGTTTATTTCATTCATTCACGGATGATTGATGATGATAAAGTAAAATATGAAGTTCCCCACGTGCCTAAACACATCATCATTTATGGATATACGTAGAGGCACACACTCTGGTATTCTAGATCTAGCATCAGACAGACGCGAGTGGTCAGTTTTACGTGCCAGTCATTTAGCCCTGGTCTTCACTGAACAGAAGACTCAGAAGCCTCACAGATTGTTAAGAAATTTGAAACTGAAGGAACTATATAAATACAAATTAAAATACTTTTTAATAAAAGGGTCTTTGGAAGCTGAGAGCATTAGTAACAAATATCACGTTTCATACCTTAGACATTAGAAGTTTGCATGTATCAAGGTCTGACAGTTTCTGCAAGTCAGACAGTCTGAAATCCTCCAGATGAACTTCATACACCAATGTATCCAGAGTCAGGAGTTCATGGTACAGATGATCCAAGCCCTATAACCACAAAAGTCATATTACATAACAAATCCCAAGTATTCGCCCATCATCCCTAACAATCCTACGTGAACAGGGAATTAAACCCAAGCGTCAGTCCATCATAAATTTAAAGACTGAAACTCAGTACACAGAAGTGGTCATCAGTTAGTGACCAGAAAAATCTGATCTGGCAATGCGGCATGGACTTGAATCCCAGAGCAATTATTTGGGCAGCTGCATACATTGACATCTCTGAAACATACTACATGTACTAGGAATTCCTTGAACAAGATATCCAGTTTGCCTGGCCTTCGTAAGCACATGCTGGCAGCAGCTAACAATACCTTATGCGGCACACAGGCTAGCAGAGAACCAGTGGTGTTTGACAGCAAGTTTCTATGCAATCTCTGATCTTTTACTGTTATCATCACACGCGCAATTTGTGCACCAAGATCAGTTCTGTTTGTGTTTCCGTTTCCGTAATATAATTCAGAATTTTGATCTGTGTTTATGTTCACAGTAATAAACAGAGATGGTAAAAGATACACTTGAATGGCAACTTTTTATGTAGGATAGTTCCATGAAAAAGGAATCCTACAAACTGTGAAAAAGAAGGTTTGACCATATGTATCCTGGTGCATGGGTTCCATCTTCATTAACATTTTTCAAATTGGTAAAAATATTGTGCTCAATTGGATCTTTCTTCAACAAAAATACATTAGAGTTTCTCTCTTTTTTTGTAATGTGTCAGGTAATTACGAATAACCATGTATAAGAAACAGTTACATGGTGTAAACTGCATTCACATCAAGTGTCTACTGGTAGCCAATAGTAGACCAGTATTTGCTTGGTACCTGCTCAACTTGTATTTATATTTACTTGACAAATTTCATGGGAAACATATAGTGGAAATTATGCAAAGATATAGGTTCAGTAAATTGTATAATTATTAAGTTTTAGACTGCATTAGTCTAAATGTAATGCAGACATTTAAAGCCAAAATCGTACACATGAGATATGTTTACTTATTCGTTCGCTGTAAATAGACAACCCTGGACTCACCATGATATGTCTCTCTCGAGCAAGCTTAATGAGTGTGAGAGCATGGTCAATAATGCAACTTCGACTTTCAATCTGATGCACTCTGGTTATGTACCATACGGTAAGAATCTCAGCTGTAATCTCTTTCTCACTGCAAGCAAAATACTTCAAATCTTGATCCTCTTCATATATCATGCTGGCATCACAATCATCAGGTTCATTCCTGAAATCATTAAATCCCTAAGCGTCACCATTCATAAGGCTACTTCAGTAAATAATTGGCATTTTGTTTGATTTTATTCTATTCTATTCTATTTTTGAAACTCTGTATCTGCTCTGTTTCTTTCTTAAGCCTATAACAGCAACATTAAATTATTTTTTATATACACACACATATATACATACATACAGGGAATACAACCATCAACATAACCTTCTTTATATTACTACTATAATCACACTTGCAATTATAATTGCACTGGATCCATAGTGGACGTTAATAAGACAACATACATTGTAACTGAGTAACAAGACCATTTACCACCAACTTAGTCATGAGAATGGCTGTCTGCAGGGTTGCAAGGCTGTGACATACTCATCGCCCTCATCATGAAGGCAGCAAGAAGCTCTGTAAATGTGGTAAATTTCTACCATACTACATGGCACTAAAGCCAAGCAGACAGCCATCTTCATAATCACCACCATGAGAACTTCAAATTCTACCAATGTAGTCATATTTTTCAAGGTTCCCGACAGGCCTTCCAAGCTATCACTTTTTTAACCAAGAATGCTGAACTAGCGAAACTAGGACACAGTGGCATGAACATGTGTTATGTATAGATTCCTACCGCAGCATCAAAAATTAAAATGGCAAATAAATGGCCACTGGGAGATCTTGGTGACCAGAAGAAGTGAGGGAAGATATATAAATGACAGCAGTAATGAGAGACCATAGATAATAACATAAATGCTTATGGGATGACAGAGAAAAAAGGATTGCCTACAAGTCAACCAATGCCAGCGGAAATGTAAACAGATGATGTGAAAATTTAAAAATGACATGTTCTAAATGCCTTTATTGTACATATAAACAGCACCTGATCCACAAACCAATCTGCATGTCTCTTTCAACTTAATTATTCAATATGTAGAACTTACTGGAAGTTTGTTCCCTCGCACCAATCTTGTTCTCGCAACTGAATCTGATTCCAATAAAACACATTCCCATTGGCAGTACATTCAGGCAGCAAAGACTTGTACTCATATGGATTCATTGTCTCAGGAAAGTTGGACAGCACGGGAAGCCAGTGTGAGAGAAGAGCATCTCCGTGGTATGTAAACATGATTTCTACACCTTTCCAGTTTCCTTCACGAGCAAATTTCACAGCAGATGTAACCACTGATATAGTTCGGAACTTATCATAGAAAGTGTAGTTGTACAATTCTTCAGCCATGTCAGATCCTCCCATAATAAGCTGCAACCAAAACAAATGACTTTTATGAATACAATCAAGCAACTACACCCCGGCACGGTGGTGTGCATGGAAGGGTCCGGGCGCGAGCCCGCCTGTAGCCGCCGCTGGTGCAGATCTCGGTGGTAATAGCTAATGCCCACTGCCTGAGATATATCAACTATACACATTGTTTCAGGAGTTGGCACAACTCCCACCTACAGGTTGCTTGTGTCTTAGCTTATCTAACACAATTGAAAATATTATAAAGAACTGGACATGGGGATGACTGAAAGTGATAAACCGAACAGAATGCGGAAGGAAGAAGCCAACCATTCCAAGCATTTACATGAAGGAACTGAGGACAATCACGTAAACCAGTCCCTGACAGTCCTTCAGACCTCTAGTGATAGTGCCAGGAGCTGGAGTTTTACTTTCCTTCATAGGATAAGTTCCACAGGGCCAGGAAATTTTACCTGAATATTACAGATAAAATTTAGAATTAGGAAACTTCAAAAAACATTAACATCATGTTATATAATATATGTTTTTGTTGTTGTTTTTGACACATGTAACAAAAACTTATAATGTCAAGGGGAAATGCAAGTAAATAACAAACTTCAAAGATAAAATTTCTTCTTAAGAAATAAACAACGAATAAAATCCAAAACCAGGATACTGGACAAAATATGAAAGTGAACTAAAAAATAAGTCAGTCAAATTAAAGATACGTGGCATGGGCATGTTTCACATGGACAAGAGAAGGATTAAGTAGGATTTGAGGTTATCACGGTAGTGAGTATAAAGATGGCTACCTTCTGGGTTGTAGTGCCATGTACTCTGTAGAAGTTGGTGGACATAGAAAAGGAGCACTTACAGACAAGAATAAATAAGGTTTTATCACATTTAAACCCATTCTGCTGGAATAAATAGTGATGATGATACTTGAGTAACTTACCTCGTATGTATATAATCTGTCAGAATACTTAAGCAGCTGCTGCCTGCATCTCAAAAGCTCCTGTTGTTCAGCAGTCAATTTATCTGTTGTTACCTGCACAAAAAAGCATACGCCGTAACATTAACTACGACTTGGGACCTGGTCATCTAACGGTAAGAGGGACTTTCATTCAGAGGATTTTGGGTTTGATTAGACCCTCATTATGTTCTGGTGCCCAAATTAAGTTGCAAAGGCCCATCTGACAACTACAAATCTCTCTGTATCATTGGGAGCCTATGGGTGCTCCCACCTCAGAAATAGAGTCTATGCCCCTGATTAGGTTGGCAAAGGCCAGAAAGATCATAGAACATATTCAGAGGTGTTACATACCTACAAACAAACAAACATTAACTATAAGACTGTGGGCAGTGATTCTGTGACAATAATTCCAAAATGCTACAATACATGATACATTACCTGTGACAGAATAAAACTGTTTCTCTCCTGCAGTGTCTCTTCTTCTGTATCAGAGCTCAGGGCATCAGAATTACCAACCACATCTTGAAACTGCTGAACAAAATTTCTCCTATCTGTATCTGCAGGCAAATAATTATGCCTCAATAATATGGTACATTCTAGTTTATTTAGAGTAATATATGACAGATTATGAATAAACCAGAAATAAAGATAATTCTTCATCATAATCATCAAGGATTAGGCAGTTTAGAAAGTTCCAGCATGAATCTAAACTGTATATTCTAACTTTGAGCAATATTTTTACACCCTTGAACAGAACATTTTCAGATGAAATTCTTTATACAATCATCACTAGATACTCTCTGTAAACAAACAACATTTCAGGTGATATTTCAAACTAACTTAACCACATTAAAACAAAACAAAACCCAACATAACCTAACCTCAACTGAACCTAACCTCAACTGAACCTAGCTAAACTAACCAGACCATTCCCATTTCATTCTCTCCATAGAAATTCCAGATATTATCTGTGGAAATACATGAATGGCTTCTCAGGACAAACTTCACTTTGTACTCATGAAACATAAATACACATGGCAACATTTTATTACCATAAAAGAGGTTTGACAGTAATGCAGCTTTCTCCAGCTTAAAATTACTTTTCTCCTATAATTCTCAAATAAGAAAGTGCATCCTTTCGATGCTTTCATGTTCCTCACCTTCAGCAACAGAGATGAATGTTTCAACGTCAGTTCCTTGAAGACCAAACTGGAGTAACCCACGGGCTGCAGCGAATGTTTCAGGCACTCTCTCTACACACTCCTTCAGCACCCAGGAGCGTTTAGTCACCTTACTCTGTGACACAGAAATGTAGGTCCATCTAACAGTAATGAAAAGCCTTGGTTATACAGAGCAGTCTGCCTCGAACAATGAAAGGGGAAAAATAATTTGTTCCCATAAATATACTCTGTGGACAATATTCAGAGTTACTGACTGTTAAAACATATGGTACACTGGGTATTAAAGGGATAACAAATGATCCCAGTAATGAAGATGAATTGTGTTGTCTTTCAGGTAAGAACAAAATTTTTACATATTATGTGGACAAATTTTGGGCTTCAAGGGATGATGTCAGTATGCTGCAATGACTATCAATATTACCAACTATATAACTACTGAAAAATGTCAAATCAGAAATTAAAGTATGTCTCAATGACTGACACTTGGAATGTTGTGTGCAAACTGCAACAACGGTGAAGGATTGCCCAAGCAAAACCAGTGTCAAATATCTTACTAATGTCCGATTCAGTTAAAGAAAAATTATTAAGTAATACATGAACCTGGTTTCAATATTAGGCCTAATTTAGTAGATATTTTAATAAACTCTCATGGACACTCAATTAGTTACCCTCATTTATGCAAACCTGCAGCCTGCAACTCAACAGAAATGGGTGAATGCAGCCAAAGATCTGAAAGAATACAAAACCCCCTGAACTAACAGCAGGAAAATCATTACACAGACTGAAAATTTGCTGATCAAGTTATTTAACTTACCAAATAATCATGGATTGTTGCAATTGAAACTTTGTTATTTCTCCACTGTTGCTGATACACAAGATCACAGTCCAGATTGTATGCTTTTGCTAAAGCCAGGGCTTCTCCATACTCCTCATTATCGATCTGAAATTATGTTCAGCGATACAGATTACACCACTCTTGACTTTTCCTCAATATCTAATTATTTATATTATCTATAACCTAATTTATTTACTTACTAACTTACTTTACAACAGGCACATCAAACCCAATGTCTACTGAAGGTCTGCTAGAAAAAGAGGTGACTGTTCCAGAAGGCATCACATGAGTGGAGAAAAATGTGAGCAAAGTGTAATACTAGGTTACAAGCTACGTCAGTTTCAAGAGTATGCACCACAGTGTATACTGCTGCAAAACAGATGTCCGACTTACTTAGGCAGGCAAGAATCAGACTGGTTGTAAATCTGTGACAGTGAATCAGTTACTAGTAATCTGTATGCTGAAACACCAAGACGAAAACTGCATGGAAAATTCTGTCAACGTGGCCTGCAGATAATTTTGATAAAAGTTTTATACCTTCCTGGCATACAGCTCTTCAGGAGTCGTGCTCTTCAGACCCAAAAGTCTGTAGGTCCGATGGCACACTTTGGGCCTTTTCCTCTTAGGCTGGAAGCGTTCCATATCTGTCACCATGTACACTGCTGACTGGATGAATGCTGAGCTCCTATTCAGTATTGAAGAATCTTCATTGTCTTCAACATCATCATTATCATCGCTGCTCTCCTGGGAAACAATTCTAACTATTACTTTAACCAGTTACTTTGCAGGGTTGTGAAAAGAGGTTTCTCATTTTGAGGGGGAAAAATTACAAATGTCTATACACTAAGTAAAAAAAAATATAGATGGATGAAGTAAGTGAGAAATTTAGGATATCAAACAACAAGGAACTTCCCAATTCACTTCAACTTGTGTTGTTAGGGTAGTGAAAGAGAGGTAGAGGTCACAATGGGATGAACACGTAGCTCAACTAATTTAAGTTATGAAGATGCAATGTCAGAGCTGTGTCCCAATGCTATTATAGGTGATGAACCTTGGGGTTCTACTAATATTGTTGCATAGTTAATGTTGCTTCACTGACTGGAAAGTGGAAGAAAGAAACAAATCAAAACAAGATGTCTACCCATTATAAATCCATGATAAGGGGCTAGTATGTCCAGGGATTACACAATATATCAATCTCTGATTTTATGAAAATCACTAGTATAACAAGAGCTGTTCATTTCCCAGAAGTTGCTTCCACTCAGGACCATAATCTCTACAACGCTTCAAAGCATGAAGCTCACTAAAATATTAATAATAATATAAATTCATTTTCTACTTCTAAGAAAACACAACACATCTCCATTACAAAGATCAACTGGTTAATATTTAGGCAAATACAAACAACTGCTGTTTATTCAGTTTAGTGTCTCTCACAAGTTACCCCTTCACAGTACAAGGAACAGTAAGTCGCTTACCACTTCAGACTGTGTGATGTTGTCATCCCATGGATACTTCTTTGAGGTAAATGTAATCTCACATTCCAATCCAAGGAACCCATGATCACTGCACAGGGACGATACTTGTGGGGGTCCTGCTAGGAATTCCGGTGACTCACCCAGAAGGTTACGCAGGTTTGCCACAGAGCACACACTAATAGCCCCTGAGTAGCGAGCTATAATTACAGCCTAAAACACATACATCCTTCTAATACAACCACAAACTTCAAAATGAAACAAAAGTTGAAAGATATATGTAGGTAGGATCTCCATTTTTTCAGACACAAATACATTTTGGATTGACTGGTCCTTAACTTATTTAACAATTATTTTTTGTGAACCGCAAAATGATAGGGACACGACCCATTCAACACACAAGGTCACCACAAAAATAAATGAATTATACAAAAAGACATAAGTGCAGTGAACATATCAACATATGAGTTGATGCATTCTGAATTTTATCTGCATATGATATCTATTCTTATTTAATTTTAACCAATTTTACAATCCAAATCTCATTTTAAATTGTCAATGAATGACTGGCATAAGTATGTGGTATTCCAGCTGGGTAGTATTACAGTGGCATGGTCTGCAAAGAAGACTTGACCTGAAAGTTGGGTATATACACCAGAAACTTGTAGTCATTGTCATTGGAAGTGTAAGTGAGACGGTGTAACTGAATGTGCAAACCTCATCATATAAAGACAGACAAATAATATGCAATAACTGTTTCTTATATTTCACAACATAACAATACATTATCATCTTAGACTTAACTTTAAGATAATGAAGTACAGTACAAGACCAAAAACAATATACGAACCATGAACAATATTCATACAACTATGTGGAGGTGTTTCAGCAAATGAAACCATACCTGGTCGGTCCACCAATTAATATCGACTGGTCGAAAGATACTGTTATCACTGTCATGGCTGAAACTTCGCTTGGAATGCTGGGGATTTTGTACATTATAACCTGGCTGATCCAGCAAGGTCCAGTATTTGTACAACCTGGTAAGAAAATACAATGTCTATACACATATCCACCAAATGGATATAAATTGTACACACACAACTGCACAAAAATGCCACTTGAAAATACAAGATTCTTGAAATATGACTCTAGATGTATAATTTTTTCAGTCTAATAATGTGACACAGTTTCATGGAATTGATCCATATACCTCTATGCAAATGGTTCCGTTTCACTGTTCTGGTCACACATACTGACTTGTGGATCCTCGTATTATATTACATGGTATGTGCTCTAGTTTTCTATATTCTGTTCCTGGTGTACAACAGCTTAACTATTTCAAGATTAAATCATCGTGTCTAGAATTTACTAATTGTCTGAAATATTGTTATTTGGACTTCTTCCTTTTTTATACAAATAAATGAACAGAACTGTTGTACTACAACATGTAATTAGCAACAAATATTTACTGTACAGGAACAAAAGGGGATTTAAATTGCACGTTACAGCACTGCCAAGATAACTCTGACTATAGCGCTGTTCAGTTTAGCAACACACATACAGCTGGACCATATGTAAGCTGTGTCATAAAGCTGATAAAAGTTAACATATTGTAATATGATTTAATTTTAGTACCATAACCACACATTTGTGTCCTTCTGTATTTATTCATATAATGTACGCTTCCACACAATTTATGCAACTTCAAACTTCTATAAAACAAATTTTAAAAAATATGTTAATACCATATTTTTATGAAATCTAAAACTTCTTGACGATAGGGATTAGCTCTATCTAGTGGGCCCAACTGTGTAGGAACCTGAAGACGGAGATAGAGTCCCATCTCCGAAACGTCGTTTTTACGTTTTATATTTACTAGACGATGGATAATATCCAGGAAAATTTTTATTCAACTGACCATATTTTTAACTCCAACTTCTGACACATATTTTTTCAAACAGTCATAGATACAAATAATTTATCATGCAACTTGCACCTGCTGGAACTACCTCTCCCATCTGGGTTATTGTACTAGTATTATACATGTGAGTATATATGAGTCGATCATATATATATATATATATACCAACTAAAATTTTAGAACATTTTCATTTCAACAAATACATTTTTGAGCTCCACTGAAATTTGTCGAAAGAGCATCTTATTGTACCAGTACCTCATGAGCAGTCCCAAATAATGAATTCTTCATTTTAGACAACAGCTGCTATTTTTTAAAAAAGAGAATAATGTGTAAAGACCTCATTTCATTTATTTACTGAACAAATTTCATACAAGCAACCACATAGCACAAGATTTAAAAACAGCTGATATTCCACTAATCGCTTTGCCCAGTGATATATAAACCCCTCAAGGAAATGTTGAACATAATAACGCCATATATCTTACCGGATAGCTGGCAGGTACCATATTGAAATACTGCCACAGGAGTGAAGACAAGCAAGGAATCTGCCTGCTGGAGAAACTTGCATCTTGAATACCACATTCTAGAAATTAAAATATGTCACAAATAATTAATCAAACCAACATACATTTCAGACAAAGTTATTTTTAATACATTTCTGTGCAGTAACGTGACAGGGTCCATTTTAGTTCCAATTCAATTTTTTTAACAGCTTGTACATTCAGCTGTATGTAACAGTGTTACTAATCCTTATCTGGCAACCTTGTACTCATTGCCTCCACAGGGAGGTCCACTGCTCCTCAAATTCTGAAAATATTTTGCAGTTTGTTTGCAAAACGCAAAACATTCTCATACGCACTGCGGTGATTGAGTCTGTCCATTCACATGTTTCATACTTCAAAAAACTGAACAAATTTTGTTAAGACTTGATGTATATCCAAACTAAAAGGTGTCATGTAAATACAATTTTGGTCCATGCTAGTTCAATACAACCCACATTTCACAGGAAGCACAATACAAATTACATAAAATTTATTTCAAAAGTAACTCATCATATAACGTACAAGAATATTAATTTTATACAGCTCACTAACATGGTTCCAAAAACAGCACCAAAAACCAAGCAGATAATTCTTGTGGCATTGTAATATTTTCTAATGTTACCTGTTCAGGATTTGATGTTAGTAAGGGAACCCAGTTCCGCCAACTCTGTTTGGCCTGCCATATTGCTTGCTCTTCATCTGTTGACAATGCCAGATGGTAGTATGGGTAATCATTAAGAAGCCGCCATGATGATAAACCAAAACTACTGCCATGACCCTGAATGGAAAAGTACAAAGTCACTGAAAAGTAGTGATAAAAGTGCTCCACTAAAAGTACAATGACTTAGTGACTGACTCTCTGGTAAAGCCAAAAACTCCAATATTTATATTATCAATACCACAACTGGACATGATTCTGAGCCACTTCCTCTCAGTTTATATCCCAATAAACTACTTCCCCATGATCCACTTCAATCTTCCAACCTTCTTTTTAGTGGTCTATACAGATTTTTCCATGAAGCCTTCCTACCAAAAGTCAGTAAACATTTCATTTCCCTCACATAAGCCAAGCGTCCAACTGTTCGAGACAATTATTGTTTTTATTTGAATATAAGCCATACTTCTTATTCCAAATATGCATCTCCTAAGCACGTGTGACTTTTAATGGAAAGACAATGGGCCTGAATCGTGAAAGCTAGTGTCTTTCTTTCAGTGTGTCTCTCTCTCTTCATCAGAAGACATCAACACAGATGTCATACAACCACTGCTCACAAGATCTGCAAAGGTGAACTATGTCATTACCCAAGAGAGTGAGTGAGGGGGTTTGTAATGCATTATATACCCCCTCACTCACTGTGCAGTCATAGTCAAATGGTTTGTTAAGCTAATATTATTATCACAAGTGGAAGATGGTGTACATTCTGTCTATTTCTTTCAGTCTTTTTCCATTTCTAATGGCATTTTTCCGCAAAACATCATGTTACTACCACTTTAGACAAAACTATATTTTCAAATATCCACAGGTCAAAAAGTCATTACAACCAATGCCTTCTGAAATTAAAACTTTTTTTTAATCTAACTGGTAAATCAGAGAAATTTAAAAAACTATGAAGGGGCTTATAAATGAGATGCATATTCTCTTCTTAAAATTAAGATGCAGTTCAAATTTGCAAAAATGCTAACTTCTGTTGACAGAAACCAAAGAATCATAACTGTTGACATCAAAGGTAGCCAATGGACATCTCATCTCATTCAACCCAATCCAAAAACTTCAAACAACTTCAATATTCTCTGTGACTGAAAAAGCTTTCAGCAGAAGGTTTCTTCCACGAACATTAGAAAGAAACCAGGGAATCTGATTTCACTAACAGCAGACACTTGCAAACAAACATAGCCATATCTACACATATAAAGTAAAACAGGAAATTCCTCATTAAGTAATTTTCTCCATTTTCCTGTTACATCCTCACCACATGTTCCACATTCAGAGTGAGAGAACACAATTCACAATCCACTTCTGTACAAGATTCAATAGCGTGAGTACCTTTAAGGAATCAGCATTCTTCACTGACGTTGGGCCAGCTACAAACAGCATGTTATGTGACGGGTGGTAACTAACGGAGAGAACCCCTTGCCGGTAATGTTGTGCAAATGAGAAGACATGACTCTGCTGATACCCATCAGTTGGAGACACCAAATAGCAATATAGGTTTCCCTGATAGTCTACCAGAATAATTTCAGCAGCCCTAAAACCACAGCAGAGGGAACACAAATGCATTGTAACTGGTTCAATCAGTAATATGTAAAATCTTCAGAAGTTTGACAGAGTGAAAGATAAACAAAAAATTAGAGAAGTTATATGTGTTACAATTTTTTGTTCATGAGTAAGAGAAACTCAATGTTAACCCTTTCCTCAAAAATCTTCCCATGTGCGCACAGATATTGCCTGTTGTACTGCTCAACAAGGTAAATGCCACATTCCCACAACAGCAATATAATCATTACCAGTGGCAATTTATAACTCTCATACATCCATTTATTCAATTTTATTAGCCAACTCCAGCTTACACTGTCATATTCTAATAATATATCTGCCTGCCTCGCACCGTCTGAGGCATCATGCTTCGGACCAGTGATATGGAATGCGTGCTGGTTCAAGTCTTGGGGGAAAGAAATTTCCCATGAGATTTTCGACCAGTGTATGGGACCAGTGCCAACCCAGCATCGTGAGGAAATTGGGGAGCTATAATGGGTAACGTAATCCGGTCATGAAAACTAGCAATGGCTGGGGGTTCGTCGTGCTGACCACACGTCATCCTGTATCTGGTCGGATGATCGTTCACCTCTGCTTAGGCATGTGAACGTGAGGCCAGCAGTCAAGTTAGACGGCTTTAGCTCTCTGGAGCTGTTACGCCACGGATTTAATTTAATTTTAACATTAGCTTCTGGTCTATGCTGATTATGTAAATCTACCGTAAATAAAAGCATGGAAAAGAAACAACATACCATTTAGGACTTTTCCTTCTGGACTGAAGAAAGCTGACAAAGACCAGGGCATTCATTTTATCCACTGGGTGACTATCTTCTTTAAATTTTGGCTGAAAAATCGAAGAAAAATGCACATTTATGTAAGTGGTAATTCATTTACGAGTAACCCAGGTACTGACATTTTGATCATCTTACTTAGGAAAAAAACATCTTTCTCTCTGCTATGTTATTCAGACTGGATCTGTATCCAACCAACTTCCTAACTAACAAATACTTGAAACTCTTCGTTTAAAGTTGATCAATACGCTTAATCTAGATCAAATTTTAGGAATATGTGGACCTTTATCACCACTTCCCCTTTATAGTGCGATACTTTCACACAGGGACAGCTTCATTAATCATGAATAACAAGTACTTAAGAGTATACAGTCAATGCTTTTAATATATTATTTTCAGACTATCCATTGTATTTAATCACCTATAACAGTTGTTCTTTACATACCATATTCTAGTGTTGTAACAAGTTGAGGTGCATGAACATACTTACGGGATAAATAGTGAAAATATTGCTGCCAAGAAGGTCATAGAAAGACACGACACCATTACTATGTGCAACAGCAAGCATGCTGCAATCAGGACTCCATGCCAGCTTCCGTAATTGCGGATTTGCATCCTTTGCAACTATTCAATCAGAGAAAATACAGTTATGATAATTATTATATAATGTCTGCTTGAGAAATGTGAACTAAGAGGAGTTACGTAAATAGAATGAATAGATATGAAACAGACAAAATAAAATAAAATGTTGTGCTGGAACGGATACATAGATGGAATGGAAACATACAGCCAAAAATAATCCATTGGACACCAATTATAAAAGTATAAAGGGGGAACTAACACTGCAGTGGTCAATAAGACAGAAGGAATTTCAACAGGGCAAATTTGGCTTAATGACGTTGCAAAAGGGGAATCCTATGAAAGTGGAAACAACTGCAACAGGAGTAAGAAAGAAGAGAAGAAAATGTGTGGGATCTGAGAACAGATGATCAAACATTCACATCGCTGTAAATATTAGTAGTGCAATGATACGAGGCGCGTCCTCAAAGTAAGTTTCCCACTCGTCCCACAGCTAGCAAACCTTATATTGCGCGAAGCGACTGTGCGTACGTGATAGAGCAATGACGTAGCATGGCGCGGAGTTTAGCTGGGAGGTGTTTAATCATTCACCCTACAACCTGGACCTCGCTCCCAGTGATTTCCATCTTTTCCTACACCTCACGAAATTCCTGTCCGGTCAGCGTCAGCGTTTTGAGAATGACAGAGAGGCGGAGATGGTTGTCACACAGTGGTTCCAATCCCCGGCGGCAGACTTCTACGACACAGGTATTCCAAAGTTGGTCCCACGGTATGACAAATGTCTCACTTCCGGTGGCGAATATGTTGAAAAATAGCTGGACACTTGCTGTATCTGTTGCAATAAATATTTCCATGAAATTGTGTTTTGTTTCTGTAAACGGCCCCAGGGAAACTTACTTTGAGGACGCGCCTCGTAAATAAAAGCAGCAATTAATGCAAATAAATTTTGATCAAGAAACACTATGCTCCTGCTAGCCAAGTACCACCAAGTTTGTCCTAGCTTTTTATGAGATGAAGTTTCATTACAAGCTAAAGCATAAAACCTGCTGGCTAGGTCAATTCCTGGCACATACATCAAGCCACTATATGATTCAGGCATAATGAAGTTAACAGCTTGTTTCTCAATCTCAATAAGAAAAAATCCATCACCAGAAATAAACACAAAATGCAAATATGCATACTCCATATTAGTAAATCTGGGCATGTTAGTTGTTGCCATTCTTGTAACTAGTACTACCATCTGAGTCTGATAACTATCTATTCTTGAGCCATCTGTGCTTCTACAAACAATTAGAATGGAACCCCTGTCAAATAATCACAAGAATACAACGTGACATAAATGCATTGTCAATTGGAAATGGTAGCAAATCTGGGGGGAAAAAAGTTATATACATTTTCTGCTACAAATGATCTCAACAACCTCCTTAAATATTGTACTAGAGCTCTGAATCACCCTGCATATGAGTTCACTTACTGGAAGCCATTCCAATAACAGATGAGTACTCATCTCTGGATGTTCGAATTTCAAGTAATGTGTCCTGCAATATGGCCACCACCTTGCCTTCTTCACCTACTGCAAAATGCCATGGAAGTTGTCGCAGAAGAAGTCTGAGTACATAAAGAAACAATTATTACAATTAATTACTATCCTTTAAAAATTAAGAGAATGAGTCTAAAAAGTAGGCTGATGATTCATGTGGTGATGATGAAATCTCTTATGGTGCCATTTACCATTGTAGTAGGTTTACCGTTATTAATACATATTGAGCTTTTATGAAGGAGTGGTTGTCTTTAGTACAGACCCCACAGCTCTGGTTGTAACTTTGATCTTTTCTAAGAAAAATACACATACCTTAATTCTGTAGATTTTACTAGAACCTGGATCCTAATAAATTAACTCTGTCACCCTTAAGATTGAGGCAACATAGCAAAATACCCATAAGACTAAGAAAAGATGATGAAGATGAAAAATAATGAGATGAAACGGAAAGGACATGACATGCATGGGAGGAAAAAAAGCATAAGAACTCTGGTCTAAAAATCTGAAGTAAAGAAAACTAGGCAAAGAAGGGAGAATATTATTAATGGATCTCAGAGAAATGGAGTGAGGAAATACAGTCTGAACACAATTGGATCAGAATAATATCTAATCTTCATTATTGTATACATAGGTACTGTAGTATGATTTCTTGATGTGCTGAGTAATTATCAATTTCTATGTATCCCTCACCTCTGTATTTCATCAAGTGCTGAAACTTTGTTGCTGAAAAACTTCCAAATGTGTTTTACAGGACTCTGATGTGTACTTCCAGCAGAAAACTGAGTGTCAACAGGTCTAGAGTATTTCTGTAAAGAAGAAGCAGACAATAAATCAAAATCCAAAGAATTAAAAAATACCTTATACAAAACAAATAAACTTGTACATGTCTGTCTCTGTATGTTTCATAAATATCACAGTGTAACAGCCAGCATTATTATTTTATATTCAGATTCCAAGTACAATTTTCAGGCAGGAGATTCTTTGTGGTGTTCCTCAATCCCTCCAAGTAAATTCTGGAATAGTACCTTAAAATATACCATGTCCATTTGCTTCTGACTCATCATTCAAAATCATTCTACTCTGTGCAACCTACGCAGTTGATTAACCATTTGTAAATGGACAAGAAAAATGTGTTTAAATGTTGCACAGCAGAGTGCAAACATTCTCCAGAATTCTAACACACTATTTTGTAACATATCCCTGTCAAGTCTCCCTAAAGACAGAAATTCTAATTGGTTATTCACAAGCAACTTGCCAATCACCAAAATGTGGCCTCTTGTTTCCGCAGTAATCTATCCTCTTTTATACAATCCTAACCTTAACATCAAAGTTACACAAAATTTTAAAATAGGTTACCAGTAACTCAGAGTCTTGCTTCCATTCAGAATACACTAGAAGTTCATACAGTATACAGTCGTCAGTTGGTTGGGTGTCACCACCGTAATTATTTTCTGGCATAATTCAAAATACAAAACCGTTTAAATACTGACAACGCGACTATAAAATTATAAACACCTATCAGTCAACATAATGTGTCCTCAAACAATAATCTTCACGGTATACAGTAACCACAGAAAAACTGGCCACATTACTGACACATATCAATACCAGCATGGGCAACATTAAAACTGAAAGGTAGTGGCACAACCTTCTATGACATTGCTCACTGCCACAGAACAATATTCCATAGATTAATACCATCATACTGTTCAGTGGAATAGGAAGCTATTTTGCAGAATTGCACTTTAATCATTGTACTTACAAAAACTGTAGCAATGCAGTAAAGCATCATCTCTTGGCTACTTATTTTAGTAAAGGGAGCTCGGTTACCATAACCAACATTAACAACGTTGTTCTGCCATCTATCCATTAGTAATGACCACACAATGACGTTAAGGTTATTATACAGGCGTTCAGTCGATAATATTAGCCATTAGTGTTATTCAGAAGTTTAGTTTGACTGACTATATTGAGAGGAATGAGATGGGGAAGGTCATGTACCACATGTAAGGAAATAATAAATACTGAATATACAAAAGTTTGGTACAAATCCTGAAGCAATGAGACTACTCTGGATATTATGGTTAGATAAAAGTACAATACTGGTGGGCTTTTATAAACATGATGACTCACCTTTCTGTTCCAAACTGGGAAATTCTACACCAGATGAATAACATTCAGCTGCTCAAAGAATGCTGTATCCATGGACTTAATATGCTAACACAAAGGGTAAATGCATCATCCAAAAGCTAAACTTTTCATTTTTAAGAACAGCAAAACAGGTCTATCAAAGCCCTGTAAAGTGTGTACATTATTCAGAGTTTAATGGCAGATGATGAGTTGAGTAAGGATGTTGAAGGAGGTGGTAAGAGCCTATTTTAGGGCACCATCCTGCCATTTAGTTACAGAAAAAGAAAACCATATAAGAATTTCAGTCAGATTAATTAATGTGGACTGATGTTTGAACCCACGACACCCTCATATAAAACACAAGAGCTAAACAATACATTGTCAAATCTAGTGAAAATTAGCAAAAAAAAAACAGTTTTATATTGTCTGAGATGTACTTTATAATATTATAAATAATAGTATTGGAATAACAATAATTAATACATTTTGGAAGATAGGTAGTTGAAAGGTCAGATTATTCACTGTACAACATTCACAAATATATGAAATGGACATGTGTTGGTAACACTGCACTGCACCTAAGGAATTTTGATTTCCACATAAACACTGGTATTACATCAAACAATCCAACTACCTTTTCCTGTTCAGTTACTTGACTTTATACTATTGTTCCATATAACAGCCACGCATAAACTTGGATAACTTCTGTCACTGTCAATAAGTACTTTTGGCACACAATAAAATTTAATATATTACAACTGAGAGACTGAATACATCATACAGCTTGATGGAAGCAGATGTCGAGCATAAAGTTCACAAAGGTCACAAATATTGGACATTGTGAAAATACTGGTGATCTGACTGAAACAGAAAACAGAATTCACTCAGTAATCATTCTACTTGGTTCACTGCTTATTATATGTGTCACAAAATGATCTCAAAATATGCTACCTTGACATGTTGAGACACAAAAGATATTGCTATAAGACAACAACTCTCAGCACATCTTGACAATTTTAGGACTGTACACTTATGCCATCTGTAGTTGAAGCTACATGTAATTCACATAATCATGAACATCCAAGTTTTTAATAGCATACAGAAACAGTTATAAGATGGCTTCTTGCAGTAGGTGGGGAAAGAATCCTGCATTTGCATAATTTTCATGTTAAAATAATACATTGCATTCTCTCTGAAGTAATGTCAACAATAAACCTTCTATTCAGGAGTCATTCCAAGCAAACTTTATCTTGGTTGTGCAGATATACCCACTTTTCTTTTATAATCTTAGCCATAAAAATTGTGAGATACGAGCACCCCACCTTGTGTTCAAGCTGGTTATTATTTCTGATGAGGGACTTCAGCTCCAAGGTCACAGTGGTCACTGATTCTGCACAAATTGTTAATAGGTTATCGTCTATGGCAAAATTTACTATTTCCAAGAATATACCTCTGAGATGCAACTCACAATGTAAAATACACTTTCAATTATAATAACACCAAATGTAATTTAATTCTAAATTAACTATGGTGAATGTGCTTTATTGTTTGGTTGTCTTCTGTAATGAAGTGATTTTTACATATTATATGATATTATATAACTTAAGTCTATATAAGCAAGCCTATAGATTTCGTTACTTGTGCAAGCAAGATCAGTACCTTTTACTTTCATTATTTTTACTGTTCCAATAAGGAAATGGTTTAATCCATCATTCATTCTATATGCATTTCCTTTCATCAAACACAACAGGATGTTTATTTTATTACATGCTGCCTTTAATGTATTAAAATAGATTATATTATGATATCTTTCTCTTTATAATCATTTTAGATTATTAAGGGCCTTACAAAATCTGACCACCTCTAGGACCAGCCTTGATAAGGGAAACAAAATGATTATGAAATATCTTACATCTAATACTCTCCATTTCAGTTTAATGACTTTCATTAAACATTCCACTTAGGCCAGTAGTTACATACAGTGATATATTTCAATTTTCAAGCACTTCTCATAATTCCATAATTTCTATATGGAAATTAACTAAGAAACACCAAGCTATTCAACCCGCTGTTAATTCACTGTGGCAATGGATGCTATTATCGTACCTTAGAGATATGTTCTGAAAATAAATAAAGGAATGTCATCACCTGTTATTCACTTACTTCACGATGTTGTATCAGCTGTTACCTTCATGTAGCATTCAATAAGAATTCCTGGTCTTGACGTGGATAATTTACATGAATAATTCAAACCCAAGATATTTTGTTTTACCTTCATATTATATTCCATTCTGAATTTGTCTGTTAAGAAGTCCAATTATATGAAATATAATGTGTATGGTGTTTCAAATGTTAATTACACAAGACTTAATTCCAATTAACTTTTCAGACGATATTGAGCAGAAGTTTTATTATGGTTTTGTAAATACATATAGTAACTAACAGACCAACTTAGACCAAGACTGCAAAGCATGATAATTATATTGGTATTAACTTTACCACCATTCCAAATGTACCTGAGTTGCAGTTAACCATCTGCAAGAGGTGGTGTTACCCAACCATATTTCTCGTGAGTTTTTACCAGGCTACGGAAAGATTCTTCTGCTGAACGTCGATTAAATCCCTTGCTCCCTTTGTGCTTCTTGGCTATACGTCCCTGTGAAAAAGAGAAACATCGCTGATATAGCACAGTTCAAGTGTGAAGATTTTTTCTACATATCGTATAAAGTTTTTTTTTTTTGAGAAAAATAAATAGAATAAATTTCTGGAGGAGAAATAGCTTAGATTAGTTAGGTGGTACCTAGAAATGAATGAAAAATTTATAGTAACTGTTAATTTAAGGAATATATGTAGACACTTATACAAAGTTACTGTTAATGAGAGTAAAATTATTAAGTTGTAAGTGGAATTGGGAAGGATATGTAACAAGAGAATAGCACTTTAGAAATAATTATATCAGGCTGTGGTCCAGAGAAACCAGGTGTTAGGTGCACAGTCTCCAGGACAGAAAACTCAACTCAAATAAAGAAGTGATTGTAAGACTTGAGGTTCTCACAGCGGTGAGTATGAAGATTTCCGTCTTCTGGGTTGTTGCGATGTGTAGTCTGGTAGATGTTTACCAACGTTTCAGAGGTCATACTGCCTCCGTCATCAGGGCGATCATCACCCTGATGACACAGAAGACGGAAATCTTCATACTTATCGCCCTGATGATGGAGGCAATATGACCTCTGAAACGTTGGTTAACATCGACCAGACTACACAGCGCAACAACCCAGAAGACAGAAATCTTCATACTCATCGCCCTGATGACGGAGGCAGTATGACCTCTGAAACGTTGGTTAACATCGACCAGACTACACAGCGCAACAACCCAGAAGACAGAAATCTTCA